CAGGAGAGATCGTGATCCTAAATGCTGGATGCAAAACACTACACTACAATGTAATGAATGAAATGGATATGGCGCGCGACCAAAACATATCTTGCCTAGGAAAGGCATGGACACAAACAAATCACGTTTAACACAGAAATGGTGCCGTCACCCTCAACACTAGGTGCGTACACATAATATCATAATTGTGCTTCAATGCGAAAAGTATCGGCACATACCAGACCAAGCTCAACATGGAAAGGCGCAAGCCGTAGATGGAGGTGATGCAGTGAATGCATGCAACTACAGTGCAATACAATGAATGCATGACAATGCACTATTGACAATGAAACCTACATACTAAATGATGCAGTAGGGAAATGCATGACAATGCAAAGTAAGGAAGAATGCACTACAATGCATGTAAGGAAAGATGCATGACAATGCAAGCTATGTACAATGCAATATTTACTAGCTAAAATGCAATGGATGCAGTGGATAAGACCTGCGGCCCAAACCGTATCTTGCCTAAGAAAGGCATGGACACATACAGACCACGTTTAACACGGAAACGGTGCCGTCACCCACAACAGTAGGTGCGTACACATAATATCATAACTGGGCTTCAATGCGAAGAGTACGGACACATACCAGACCAAGCTCAACATGGAAAGCGGCAAGCCAAAAATGGGGGTGATGCAGTGAATGCATGCAAGCTACAATGCAATACAATGAATGCAATGGAATGCAATATTACAATGGATAAGGCACGCGGCCGAACCGTATCTTGCCTAGGAAAGGCATGGACACATACAGACCACGTTTAACACAAAAACGGTGCCGTCACCACAAACACTAGGTGCGTACACATAATATCATAACTGTGCTTCAACGCGAAAAGTACGGGCACATACCAGACCAAGCTCACAACATGGAAAGGCGCAAGCCAAAATGGGGTGATGCAGTGAATGCATGCAAGCTACAATGCAATACAATGAATGCAATGGAATGCAATATTACAATGGATAAGGCACGGGCCGAACCGTATCTTGCCTAAGAAAGGCATGGACACATACATACCACGTTTAACACAGAAACGGTGCCGTCACCCAACACTAGGTGCGTACACATAATATCATAACTGTGCTTCAACGCGAAAGGTACGGGCACATACCAGGCCAAGCTCAACATGGAAAGGCGCAAGCCATAGATGGGGGTGATGCAGTGAATGCATGCAACTACAATGCAATACGATGAATGCAATGGAATGTAATATTTACAATGAAATGCATGTCAATGCAATATTTACAGTGAGATGTATGATATATGCACTATATACAGTGTAATACATGACATATGCACTATTTACAATGTATGCATGACATATCGCTATTTACAATGAATGCATGACATATGCATGTTTGTTTTTGTTGTTGTTGTTGTTTTTTTTTTTTTTTTAAAATGCATGATAATGCAGATGAAATTGAATGCGCGACAACGCATGTCTTTTTGAAATGCATGACAATGCACATGAATAACGCATAACAATGCGAATGAGGGATCATGACAATGCAACCTAGGATAAAACCCGCCAAGAGTCGTTCGGGCACGACAAACACCAAAGGACTTGCACCTTGAGCGGATTTAAGGTCTCCTAGACCGAAATTAAAATGCATAACAATGCAAGTAAGATAAGCATGACAATGCAT